GGGTGAATGTACCAAGAAGATTATTTTTTATTTGTTTATAATTTATTTAATGTTACATGTAAATCACTTTGTATGTAGTGCGGATGGAGTACACCTGTGTTTACTATGCACGCAGTAAATAGTTGTAAAATTTATCTGTCACTTTTTTAACGAAGACAGAGAGTTCTCAATTTGATTTGAAACTTTTGTTGATCAAAGGAAGCATACATACATACATACATACATACATACATACATACATACATACATACATACATACATACATACATACATACATACATACATACATACATACATACATACATACATACATACATACATGATGCAAATTCACACAAAGCAAAGGATATTAGATATTTTTTTTTTCATGATTCAAATTGCACTGATCAGCAACATTTGGTTTCTTCATCTAATGTTCAGAATGCAAACGTATGCTTAGCCTCCAGTGCAATGCATAAATTACCAATAGTTCGACAGTTTCAGCCGAAGTGGCCAAAACAGTATGCGTGGCTACGATCTGACAATGGCTGTGCAAATGAAAATAAGGATTTCCTGTACTGTGAGAGATGCACAGAAAACAAAAGGTAAATGATATAAACAAGATTGATAGGAACAGAAATGTTCAGAATTCAACGTTAACCAGACATACCGATCTTGCTATCCACAAATTATGTCTTCTAGCCCCCGAGTTACGAACTTACTTTGAAAATATAGTTCAAAGCTCATGTCAGATCAAAATAAAGCTATAACTACCTTAATGAAGGTTATTAAATGGATGGTAGGTGAAGACATCACCTTAAGCACTTCTTTGATTAACATTGTGCGCTAAGCCGTTTGCTAATAGGTTACAATGCTAGTTGCGAATAGTGTTAAAAGTGCCAATGTGAATAAATTAAAACAACAGGGCTCTCACGCAAATAAATCGCATTGAGATTGAATAATACGATTAATAACACGACCATAGCCATCAATGACAATTCCTGATACATTAATGTAGATAGAATCAAAGTCAGTTGCAGGTAGTAAAATCATTAACGAGCTGCTGAACAGCGATTATCAGAAACAACGAAAGCAAACCCAGCAGTGGGGAATGGATTTGTACGATTTGAAAACAAATAAAAATAATTTTGTTTATCAGCGGTTCATTTCCAAGAGATTTCTGACCAATCATTTGATATGGGTGCGCTTGTGGTAGTGGATCGTCGCAAGAGCTATTTTCAGGACACCTTATATCCCAAACAATTAATATAGAATTGCAAACTTTTTCCGTGTAACGCATTTGTTGAAGTGGAGGTAAAACTGTACGATAAACCAGTATTTTAGCGGGATTTGTTCACAGCTATATCGTCTATTGTTCAAAAGTGCAAATTATTCTAACCATGGAAACGAGATCAAATCCATTCTTGACATAGTTGACGTCGCCACAATTATTCCTGGACACAAGAACATCAAACTGCCAGTATTTTAGCGGGATTTGTTCACAGCTATATCGTCTATTGTTCAAAAGTGCAAATTATTCTAACCATGGAAACGAGATCAAATCCATTCTTGACATAGTTGACGTCGCCACAATTATTCCTGGACACAAGAACATCAAACTGCCAGTATTTTAGCGGGATTTGTTCACAGCTATATCGTCTATTGTTCAAAAGTGCAAATTATTCTAACCATGGAAACGAGATCAAATCCATTCTTGACATAGTTGACGTCGCCACAATTATTCCTGGACACAAAAACATCAAACCTAATAATGACGACTATCAAATATATAACTAATTGTACTGATCATAGACAAGATATAATCAGGCTGCACGAAATCACGCAGGCAATACTGACGCAGTTGTAGAAAATCTAACATTTTCTATCCCGAATTTAAATATTGGATTTATTTGCACAGTGTCTATTTGCCCAGGTTATTATAAATCATTAGTGTTTCATTGTCGTGCGCAATTCTTCTCAGTCGCATATTTGGGTTTTGTTGTGATATACGCAAGATAATATTTGTTTTTTAGTTGATCGTTCTTTTTTGTAGCATGCAACGATTGGATGGAGGAAAATCATAGACTTATTTCATCAGGCTGTCTGTATTTCATCCAAAGACCTAGAATAATTTCATCAAATATTTTTAGACATTATTTTAGCTGCCTTATGTGCTGGTACTGCTCACGGACTCTGTGTACATGTTGTGTACATGTTGGTCACAAAGATTTAACTGCTTTGTCAGATCTTCTTTGACAGTCTCTACTTGACATTAGATTTGCAAGATTGTCATTTTGGTTTTCCAATTCTTCAGTGCTACTTTTTTGCAAGATTCTATAGACAACATTGCTAGGCAAAGTTTTGAGAAGTTCGTGAAAGTCATCCGCGTTTCAAATTAGATTTTCAGGATTCTCACATATTTTGACTACATGTTTCTTAGAGCTTGAACTTTGAGGGTCATGTTTTGATGGTGCATACATTGACACGGATTTCTGGAAATGAATGAGGCAAGCAGCAAATGTTTTTTTTTTTGTTATCCAAACGTCCGAATGCAGTTAGAGAAAAAATGTGATTCGGATTGTCAGTTTTATTTGTGGTGACGATTTTTGAGATAATCGGTCTGTAATTTTTCTCCACTGTCCATATTTTGATTGAATGTACCTTACCTGGCTGTGAGCGACTATTATCGTCACGCATCATGAAATCTCGGACTGAGGATGTAATAGAATGCGAGAGACATTGCCGTATCCCTTTGAAATAGGCGGTACCTTTGTCGTTTATAAATCCCAGAGAGCCCATGAAGCTACTTAACTTTTTAAGCATCTATACTTTTTTGTTATCGACCAAGAAACAATATGATGTATAACAAGACGTCTTTTAGAGAATATTACTGTTTTGACGCCCTTGTTTCAGACAAACCTGCATTGCTTACAAGGAGGTTTCGTCTTACAAGATTCCGTATTTCTGGGTTCAGATATAAATTTTCAACATCTGCATCGGCTCGCTCTATGGTGTTAATTCCTTAGGTGCTGTAAACAGTCAAAGGTTTTACTTAGTCGCTCAATTGTCTTATTTTTTGTCTTTTTCTTAGTTATCATGTTTGAAACGTCAGATTTCAGAATAGCTATATTTTTGTGGACACAGGCAAGATACGTTACTATGTCTTTATGTCTGTTCTTGTAGTTGAATTATGAGTTTTAAGAGCGTTGTTGAATAAGATCACTGTCATTTTGTCTAAATGCAGTGGGCAATTTGTTTCACGTTGATGGATCCTGGTATGCACAAGAGTATTGTCCATATGAATTCAACTTCATGGTGTGAATAATGAGAATACGAGTGTCAGAATATCTGCTTCTTTTCACACAGCTGAGACACAGATTTTTTTTGTGAACACCACTTTTAATACAAAACCATTACCCTGTAGGCTACTGATACATTTCTGAAGAAGGTTTCCTTCTCCAATCGCTGTACACGCCATTTTCAAAATATTTGTTGTCGAATCTGGAAAAGGAGATGCACGTTTGTTAAGGAAGGCCAATATATGTTTTAGTTGTAAAATGTGACACCAAGCAAAAATCGATTGAAATAAATGTGGAAGTTGATGATTGTTGTTTTGGGTTTAAATTCATTTCTGAACGCAAGATAACCTATACGGTGTGGACACTACAACTGGTGGAGGAACCTACTGGAAGATTTCTCACATGCCCACATTGACCGAACTCGAGACTCGAACTCATACGGACAAAGATGAGATGGCAAAGATAGATAAAGTTGAGAGCATCGGCTACCAGAGGACCCTTGAGTAAACAAAGATTAACCTTTCAATTCCAATCAAGCAACGTTTGCAATGTTTCTAATTATTTTGCACACTCGAATGAATCTGATATTTTAGATAGTTCTACTGCATAAAAATAATTATAAAAATATTACACAGCTTTATTCCGTTTCTTAAATTCAGTATCATCACTATCATTGTCGTTGAGTTCCTTTAAAAATGCATCTCATTTATTTGGACGTTAGCTAATCAATCCAAACGATTTTAACATTTTGGAAACGTATTAAAAGTTTTTGAACTCGTGCACAAGGAGCAAATTGCAATTCAAAGAAAATCGTTGATTGCACAGCATTATCTACAAGCATATAAATCATTAGTTCGTTATTCCGTCTATCATTTCGCCAATCGTAAATATTAAACTGCTGTTAACCAGAATATTTTGGCTTCAATATATTTTGCCAGTGTATAAAATGTTTGCATATTATTGCTTAAATAGATATCAAATTCATTGTGCTCTAAAGATATACTCTGTTAATTCTGGTCTTTTTGTGAACAATGGTCAAAAATCTGAATGATAATATTTCGTATACAGTAGTTTGCAAAACTGAAACTAAATAGATCCTTATTATTAACTCTCGTGTTGTCAATTTCGCACAACATAATAATAACTTTTTAACTGTTTCATTTAATTGATGTATTATTACATATAAAAAAATCTCCTCTAAAATTTAGTCCCCTGGCAAAATCGTACCAATCATACTCATTAGTTTGTTGAATCTTGATTATCCCTTAGCGTTAATGTTGTCTGTTCAGGTGTCCCAAAGAAACTATACACACTATATACAATACAAATAGAACTGCATCATCGTTAGAAGAATAAACATACATGTTAACTTAAAATTTTGCTTGAGACAGGACGAATTAACAGATTCATTATCTATCTATCTATCTATCTATCTATCTATCTATCTATCTATCTATCTATCTATCTATCTATCTATATATCTATCTATATATATATATATATATATATATATATATATATATATATATATATATATATATATATATTATACATGACAGCAAATAAACTTTTAATAAATTCTTTGTCAAACGAAGAGTCAACTTATATACACTCGAAAAACAAAAGCTGAGCAAATGTTATATATATATATATATATATATATATATATATATATATATATATATATATATATATATATATATATATATATATAATATATACCGCTCTGATGGCCTAGTGGTTTGATTTGAGCGTCCGCCTTGGATGCGGGATGTTGTAGGTTCGATCCCCAATTGAGTCATACCAAAGACTTTAAAAAATGGTACTAACAGCTGTATTGCTCGAAGCTCAGCATTAAGAGGTTAGCGTTATGACTTGTTGGCCTGGTGCCAAGATACCTTTTATGGCAAATCAGTCTTATGTAACTGAAATACTCTTCTAATCCCCCCAAATTGCAATCCCCCCAAATTGCAATCCCCTAAAATTGCAATCCCCTCAAAACCATTTCAAATATAGGTGATGTGCATAAAATTTAAAGTACAGAAGGACTTGATATTCCTGTTTGTCATTTGAGTAGATTGGAAGCCCAATTTATACAGGAGTTTTACTAACCATTGTGTTTTGATTGCAGCTTAATGGAAGTAGTCTCCCTTTACACAATACATTATGAAGTTTCACAATTACTTATCTGATTAATTCACTCGACCAAATGATCATCAATTATAATCCTTAATTTGCACACTTGTAAGTACCTCCAGTACAGTTTTACAAAACTGCAATTCCAAACCATATGGAGCACAATGGCTTCGTGATATTTCTCAACTAGACATAATATTTTCATACAAAAAAGCCATATGTATTTGAGGGCAGTCATCTTTCTTGCCATTTGAAATACTCAAATCAATACATTATGTTCATTCAATATACTGGCTGACCTTCTTGACATTTTCCTTAAGGATCTGACTATTCCCTTTTATTCTTCTGTACTATCAAACCTTATTATGTGGCTTATAGTTTTGTATGCAACAGCATGATCATGTAGATGTTATGTGTCACAAAATTTGCACAGTTTAAAGTGTCTGAGGTACTCCGGTAAAGTTAGTCTGGTCACCTGACCATTTCCACTGCATTCAATATCAAACACTAATCTGAACCAAACATGAACAAGCCAGTATTCAGATTTTACCACATGCAATGGTATTTCTGTAATTTGTGCTTTTGTTCCAGAAGTCTGTAATTTAGGGGTAATTTCCATAAGACTAAGGTGAAATTGTATTAGTTGCCAGCAACAGTTGTTAGAAAGACACAACTAATCCACAGGTGCTTCTTACACATTATATGATGAACCATCACAGTCGATACAAGACTTTCAACAAAAAAGGACAAAATGTCAAAGAAGTAAATTGTGCAGATGCTTGTCCTGTACCAACAAACCAACATATTGTCAGGGTTTTACTTCATCAGCTTGATATGGTGATAGCCTATGTTCCACTCATTTGTCAGTTGATGACATGGGCATTCCAGTATAAAGGCAATAATAGTTATTTCTTTAGCTAACTTTAGCAAGCTTAAAATTCAAAGCAATGCTTTGTTTTGTACAATACTGGCTAAATTCAAGTGTTGAGAGAACAAACACTGGATTAATAGTATCAAATTAATTCTAACCTGAACCTTTTTGATGTTAACCTGTGTCTGATAAGCTTAATTGGATTGGTTCACAGCAATACCCAATTGGAATTGAGGTAGAGTGTTATTAAATTTGTTATTAAATCGGAATGTTTGAAACTCTCAAACAAAAATTTTTTTTCCTGGGAAGATTGCTGTGCAAATAGGATTACTCAGTGAAAGACACTCATAATTTGGCAGTAAAACTTAGAAGCAGATTCTAATGAAAGACAATGCTTCAAAAAAGAAGCTTTTAGGAGACAGAACTTTCTGTGCAGTTGAGTTCCAAGTCTCCAAGAGGGAAGACAGAATTGAGACTGGCCGAATAGTCGGATTTGACAAAAGTCTAGTCGGTGAAGAAAAGGTGGATAGAAGATAGAGGAAGAGGAAAAGAAGTATGGAGCAGAAAGTGAATGATGATTTGAAGGAGCATAGAGAAGGAGAATGAGTATAGAGAAGCTGAGGAGGAGATGAAGAAATTTGGAGAAAGTCGGGTTGGAAGAGAAAGAGTTGGGAGAAATAGGAGAGAAGAATGCCACAGACAAGTAGAATACAAGGATAGGTGAAAATTTATCTCACACTACTAATCAAGTAATACAATAGGCTATTATAGGGTTCAGTGGAAGGAGTTTACTTGGAAAATTTGAATTATTTGACTATGTACTTGTTATTAAATTGTTATTCATTTTATTTCACCCTTTTTCCTATATTTAACCATTTATCTGTGCATTACTGACTGGGTGCTTTACATCTACCTTTCACCAATTTAATTTCCAACTGAAATCGAGCCTGGGTCGGACATCTATAATAGTTTAAATAAAATATTGGGAGCACCCCTCACATACCATAACACACAACTGATTCTCCACAGCTACATATTATTTCCTTTCCATATTTAGCTCTAGGACTGCTTTATTATTGAATGCTACTGAAGAAGTTAATCAGTTCATTCTGTTTTACTTGAGGACAAAGTATTTTGTTTATAAATATTTTCAGCAGAAAGCAGCACTTTTACTATATCCCCAATGTCAAACTGTTTAAAATAGGCAAATAGTTAAGTGAGTTCTTAGAAACAGCTTAACAGAATTTATTTAAATTCCACAGTAAGCATTGTGGCATAAAAACATAAATTTTGTTGAATGACAACCACATATGGCTACTTTAAATAATAAAATGTAAAGTAGGAAATTAGTTGCCTAAGAAAATATAAAATTCATCCTAGAACATCGCCCTGTTTGTTTTAAAGATACATTGATTGACCATACTTTTTTGATGCTCATTCACATTAGCCCAGTAGTACTAGTGTTGTAGCTTAAGGCAAAATATAGGCATTAGGCCATCTAATAGATAGTGTTGATCTCAATTGTACCATCACAAAAAAACAAAACAAACATTTGTACAATCACAGGCATATGTTTTGATAGCTGATTGACCATTATTTTTTTTCCAGGCAAGTTAACAACTACAGTGGCCAATTTCTGCAAGTTATCCTTTTATGATAAATACATACAAACTTTTGTTTGCAAAATTAAATACTAGTATATATTGTTGTTGTTGTAGGGTTTAATGCCATTTTTCAGTACAAGATAGGCTATACATGTTGGCCAGTAGAAGAACCCTGGAAAACCCCAGAAAGAACCACTGACCCATGAGAAGCTACTGGCAGGATTTCTCATTTACCCATGCTAGCACTAGAATATAAATAACAATTTGTGCCTTAAGAACATTTTAACTGCCACATGTATGTTATTTGCTTCATAAATGGGTTTGAAGATGTAAGTGAATCTGTCATGAGAGTGAAATAATGGTGGATATAGCAATGTCTGGAAGTACCACTGTTATTTATTAGATTCTGTTTTTGTAAACTTCTGGTCAAACATATTAAAATAAACATATAATTGATACATCTAAATATTATGTTAATGAAGATTTAAAATAAATAATGTATATCAGAAACATATGGGACAATGTTAGAATCACTTTAAGCTCAAAGTTATTTTCTAATCTCACTCATTTTTGTGAAAAAAAGAAGGATGAAAAAAGTAATAAAACAGATAATATTTATCCAATGCCATACATTACTAAAAGTAAGTAGATAAATACTAAAACCTTACATTTGTAATCCTACAATGGACTATTTTAATGAAGCTATCAAGTGAGTAGATATTTTAAGATAACCCTTCTTTCTAAAACTAAATACATTCACATTTTGTTGGCTGTGTAGGTACAGTTGTAAAGAAGGATTTAGTTCATTCAGGTATCCATATTGTTTCATTGTGTTTTCTATGAATAGTTGCTGTTATGCTTCATTGAAAACAAAACAAATAGGACATTCAGGATGATTTAAAAACATGTATTTCCTCTCATGTACATGATACAGGGGTGTATCAAAACAACTTTAGAAATCTTGTTAGCTGCCATTTTTTGTGAATTTTCACCAAGTAAAATGCAAAATTCTTGATTAAGGGTAATTGATTTAGCATTTCTACTAAATTGCAATTACGATAGTGTAATCCAGTTGCTCAATTAAAACAATTTAAATTACAATGAAGCTTTTACTATGTATGGCCATTTGCTGCATATGAATATGATAATTTTATACATGTACCAAATGTGTTTATAATGTACATGCAACTCTAATTGAAAATAAAATAATGCTTAAAAGCAATGTTAAATGCAATCATGCATACAGATAAATAGAGGGCATAAGTAAAAAAAGAGAATGAAAACCCATCCACACCATATGTATACCGATATATATGTATTGTGTGTGTATTACATTTCTTGATTTGCTCCATAAAATTAAAGAATATCTTGACCTAGGACTATAATGGAGAAATCTTGATAATACTTTGCAAGAGCACTCAATAGAATTTGATTACAACATTAGTGATTATCGATTACAATTTACTTGAATAAAGCGTCCTGTCATGATGGGCATTTTTGCATTAATGATATAGATCCACAATTAAATAAAGCTGTTGGTGCTAAAATAGCAGAATATATAAATGACATCTTATGCATTGATGAACTGATATTGACCCTGAAAATTCATTCTGATCTGCTATAAATATGATTCAGATTGCCAAAAAGGCTTGAAATGACTTCTAAAAAGATAAAATTAGTGGCACAAAGGACTTCATAGTATATATATATATGTATTCATGATTTCATGATATATATATATATATATATATATATATATATATATATATATATATATATATATATATGTATATATATATATGTATTCATGATTTCATGATATATATATATATATATATATATATATATATATATATATATATATATATATATATATATATATATATATATATATATATATATATATGTGTGTGTGTGTGTGTGTGTGTGTGTGTATGTATGTATGTATATGGTATATATAATGATGACCTACCATCAATTATGATTTCTGTTACTTAGAAAACAAAACTGGGTTTGGAGTGCCACTTTTGTGTTTTTATTTTAAGAAAAGTTATTCAACATCTTATAATAAAATATTAAATGGAACAAATTTGGCAGAAGAAAACCTTTAATTGCTCTCATGCTTGTACAAATGATGCAAATATGACCATTTTTGATACAAATATATTTTGGCTTTGAAGGTCCTTAAGT